CAGGGTGAGCGCCCCCTGCTGGCCCCACTAACACCTCTTCCAGCAGCAGCCTTAGTTTTTCCCAGGAGGTCTCCCATCCAGGTACTGAGCAGGCTCACACCTGCTGAGCTTCAGTGGGCTGCCAGGTGTGAGTTGCAGGGTGATATGGCTGCTGGCCGAATTAAAGTAATTAAAGAGCCAACCCAACACCCCGCTTTTTGAGCTGTTGGTGGGAGAGACCCCTGGCGATACCTGATCTCCTGTGCCCGCCGCTGCTGCTGCTCCTCCAGCTCCTGCTTCATCCTCTCCTCTCTTTCCTCCTTCTCCTGCTGCTGCTTCCTCTCCACCTCCTTCTCGCGCCTCTTCCGCTCCACCTCCAGACGCCGCTGCTCGGCCTTGTCGGCTCTGTGCTGCTCCCTGCGTCCGCTGCCCAGACTGGCGCCCTGCTGGAAACGTTCCAAGGCAACCCCACAGGTCAGACGTGCCACCCACCCGACACGGATCACACCCCTTAAAATTGTGTAAATAAAGCTGTTTGTAAGGAGGCATCCATAGCAGTTTCTGTTAGCCCAATTAGGATGAGACAAAGTTGTGACCTGCCCCTCCAAACTGGTCAAAAGCATCTGATAACGGCGTTTAATCCAACAGAGGACTCTTTGCTTTACCCTTTAAAAAACGTGCCGTGTATCAGTGCAATTGGAATTTCACTACTGGAAGCTGGAAGATGGAGTTCGGATTTGGTCTGGATCTAAATTGCTTCAGAGCTCCCTCCACGGCAAGTTTGACTTTTGACACAGTTCCCTTAACAGGTTTTTTGGATTCCTTTCGTACTAGACAGATCTTTGAAGTCTCGGGGTGACCCGGGGTTACAGTCAACATCCCCTTGGACTTCGTTAAGTCATATCGGATTAGAAAGGCATAGGGAAGTTAATTCTGTTTCTGCTTTTCCTGAACTCTCCTGAAATGTAAACTGTACATATGGTCTTCAATACAAGATTTTGTAATGGTTTTATACTGACCGGTATGTGTTTAAGATTTGGTTTCAAAACTGAAGTTTCTGTAATTTTGCTGTAACAAGCCATGAAGTTCAGACAGGAAGTGTAGTTTTCTGTGTATGTTGTGGTCCGTTGGCAATGAGCATTCATCTTCAACCCAACTAAACTCAGAAAGAATTTACCAGTGTGGGCACAACTGGATGCCACATATGGTTTTCATAGATAAGTACTTTTCAGAGGGAATTACATTTTTTTTTCCATTCTAAAAATCCCCACCTACACCAAGAGCAAGAGTACAAAAGGGTCTTGGGGGGTGGGGGGAGGAAATTGCCTTTAAAAGCAATCAAGGAGAAAAAGAATGTCACGTTTTGCCAATCGAGCTCCACACTGGATGATGGGAAAGCAAATGAAAGATTAATCAATGCAGCTTGTCTCAAATCTGAAGCAAGAAGTACAAAAGCCTCAGACTTACTGTGCAGCTATTAATGTCTGAGCCATCAAGAGACACTGAGCTTGGGGGTGCTTCAGTAATGCCTGTGGAGAGCAACGCCTTCGAAGCAGTTCTAGGGCTCAAGAGAGTGGGGTCCTCATTCAGGCGGGAGATGGCAGAGCCTCGGTCACTGTCCGCCATCACAAAGGACCAGTGTGTCTCCGAAGTGCCGGGCCTCTGTTCGTCTGGGACATCTTCCCCGTCTGTGCTGACGTCCGCTGTGCCTTGCGTCTGCCTCTCCACCTCTGCCTCCACGACGATTTCCGGAGCTGCAGCTTGTGGCTTCCTCTTCAAACTGGCCGCCCTTTTATCGGCTTTCTCTTCCACCGGCTTCTCTCTGGGTTTGCCTGCAAAACAAGCCCAGAACGTCCTTGAAGCGCCAAAGGAAAAAGACCCAAAACAGACCGAGCCAGTGAAGAGATGTCCTCGCAGACCGGTTTTGGTCTTTTATCATTTCTGGAGTCGTGGAGACTCCTCCGAGACTGGCCACAAGAAATTACATTTGATATGAATGCTATCAAATTCATATCATTTAGAATACAAACGCCGATACCCAAGTAGAGAAGTGTTTTGGTAGTTTTGGTATGTACATTTCTGAAGCAGCGGTTAGCACTGCTGCCTCGTGGTGCTGGGGCCCCGGGTTCAGTTCCTGGGGTGCTATCTGCGTGGAGGCTGGTATGATCACCCCATGCTCGCATGGGTTTCACCTGGGTGCTCTGGTTTCCTCCTGCAGACCAAAAATATGCTGGCAAAAACTCTGTGTCTGTGTGTACCTGGGTCCCCTGTGATCCTGATTTGGAAACAGTGGTTAGAAAATGGATGGATTCTATATAAAGGATGGTTTTTGCTTTCCAATGTATTCCCATTTAAATATAGTTTCTCATTTCAACTATCCCTACAAAAAGCATTGTTTGCATCTTCCAAGAGCACTCCTAGAGGCAAGGAACTAATATGTTTCCCGTCATATGTCCTCGTCAATAACTTATCTTGGTAGAGCAACCGATCCCCTATGGTTAACTAATTGAAGACAGAGTTCAGGAGTGTCTGTTATAGAAGATTCAAAGTTACAGGGAAAAGTAGTGGTCTGATTGCTCTCTCCTGGGCTTGAATGAAATGAATACACCATCCTTTATCATATTTTATATTGTCACATTGCAATGTTTTTCCTGCGGTTAGTGTTGAGGAGGGAAATCAGTTCTAATATAATTAAACCATACAAGACTTGAGCTAATGTGTATTTTTTTTTATAAATTCTCCTTCAACATAGCCGTGGTGATTGTATTAAACTCCGTCTTATGCATCACTAGAGATTTCTCGCAAAGCGTGATTTATCTTCCACTGTAGGGGAAAATGTTGTCCATGGGGGAAAATTTGCAGGGAAACCTGCAGCTTTGCATACTGTAGTCTTCTGTTATTCTTTTACAGTGTGTGAAATTGAAGTTCTTTTACTAGCTAACGGAAATAGCACATTGCTTTAGTCATATTCTAATATAACATCATCCGTTATTTTCATTTTAATCAAGATAATTTTATTCCAGAACATCAGCCTTTTCTTGGACATGTTTGTTCTTAAAAACCTGAGATGTCTTCATACTCACCTTTACATAGAACAAGAGAAACAACTATCTGGAGTCTGGTTTACTAAACAGATATTGATGCAGTTGTCTTGCCAGGACTTTCACTCCAGTTGCCATGGTAATAGCAAGATAAAATGAATTTCATTGAAGCAGCAGCTCAGTAAGTTTGAAACTCCTTACCTACAACAAACTCTGCACGTCCCTGCTGGCTCTTTCCTTTAACCTTCTTCTTGTCGACTGATACTCCTGAATTTGCTTTGGAGTCCTTTTGTTTCCCTTCTTTGACTCTTCCTGTTTTCTGGGGAGGAATAAAACGCAAAAAACGGATTCCTCAGGGTGACATTTGCGTGACTTTTCCACATTAAAAGTTGCAGATTCGTTTATTTTGCCTCCCACCAAAAAGATTGACCACACAAAACAAATCTACCCCAAATAAAGATTTTAAAATTGTCATTTTATACTGAGGTACTGTAAACCCAGTCAGGAAATATGGGTATATAGTAGTCTGAATATATAGTAAACTCTAGCCCCTTCAAGTGCGATGTCCGATGTATATTTTAATAAGCTCCAAATCTCACATTTTAATGTCTAATTTTGCTGAAATATTCTCAATTGATTAGAACTGTGCTGTCAAATACACTTCTATTCTTCAGAGATCATATCTTTCCATGAATTGGAGAAAATTGGAAAAAAAACATACCCACAAAACAATAAAAGTTCCACTAACGTCTTCTGTCAATGTCAAATTTTTAGGACATGCAAACATTATCTGTTGGACGGTGTTGCTTGATTCATAATGATTAAAAACTATCACACACCTGTGAAAATCACCACATAATCACTGCTGATTCAGGTGCAGTTTAAACAGAACCATGTCCACTCTCCCAACATAAACAACAAGAGCTATCTCTCGGCAGATGGATATAAATGTCAGAACCTTCGGGTTCATGAGAAAGAATCTATCACTCAGTGGCAGGCCGAGAGCAGAACACCAGTTACCAGCAGGTCAGAAAAGCACCAAGAAGAAGTCAAAGCAATCTGTTTGCCTATTTGAAACACTACTGACAATCATATACCTTGAAAAAGTATTCACCCCTTTGCCATTTTGTTGAATTAGAAATGTAATTTACATTTTATTTTAATGTCAATATTTTGAATCGAAACTTGAAAGTGGACTTTGAACACTTGTCAGCAAAAGCTGCAAAGGAAGACCAAAAACTAAAATATATTGATTGTGTATTCACCCCTGTTGCTAGGACAAACCTAGCCAAGTCACAAAATTAGTCAAATCGCATCTGGCTGAGTGTAATAATAGTGGTTAACAGATAATTTCAGATAAACTACACCTGTCTGTGTAACATACCTCAGTCAGGTGGTGAATTTCAAACAAACATTGTGCCAGGAAACTTTCAACTTTTCTAACTAGGAAACACAGATTCAAGTAATGAGTTTAGAAAATTTAGAAGCAAGACAGCAAGGCCAGAAGCGTGTTTTTTTTTGGATATGAATCAAAAGACAGAAATAAAAGACAAACTCCACCCTGTAAATACACAGTTGATTGAAGCTTGCTCAATAGTTACTCACCATAGATTTCTCTGTTTTGAGATCAGCCCCCTGCTTAGCAAGCGTGCTCAAGAACTCTTCCTCCTCTTCTTCTGTCATGGGTCCATTCCCAGAACCCTTTGCTGCCTTTACTCTATTTCCCAGACTGTCTTTGCTGTGAGTTAGATACGTCTCTTCAGTTTTGTGCTGCTGCCAGCTACAAGAAATTTGAAAATTAGTTTGGGTTAAAACAAGTGTGGGCGACAGGGTGACGCAGTGGTTACCACTGCTGCCTCACAGTGCTGGGACCCTAAGTTCCATTCCTGGGGTGCTATATGTGTGGAGTTTGTATGTTCCCTCCATGTTCACATGGGTTTTCTGCCACAGTCCAAAGACAGGGTGTACCCTGTCTTGCGTCCAATACTTCCTGGGATAACCTCTGGGCCACCCTGACCTTGAAATGGATTAGCAGTTATAGAAAATGATGTGATAAATCAAATTTCTCCGTGGGACTTCACATGATTTGAACATGCAAGTAACAAAGACAAAACCTTTTCTAGACAGCTGTCCTTGACACTTCCTTGGACAAAATAATGGAATAATCAAAAGGGGAGACCCAGGCAGTTTAGCTGTAGAAGGGGATTTGCCAAGACTACAAACTATTTCATTCATCCACACAGAGCAGGGGACAAGACTGAGTGTCTGTAGACAAAACAGAGAGAGATTGTTTTTACACAGAAGACATGGTGGGTGAATGTAACTAAAACCCTGCTTTGTTGTGGATACTTTATTGTCTGAACCTTTCGAGGCCAAGCACCTTGAAAAGATATACATAATGGAAACCAAGCAAGTTGAAGGATTATTCATGAAAACAATAGGTCTTATTCTTCCTGCTCTTCATATGTTTTATTTTCACTGTAGTCTCTAAGTGAAGTCGCTGACAATGCTTTCTCATGCGGGGTTGAACTACGCATTCTGATTGAGATACACTGCCAAATCAGTCTGAACAGCATTGCAGCGCAAGATCAACATTCCTGTTAGGTGAAAGTCAGAGCACTTGAATCTAGACTAGTCTTATGACTTAACTAGATCATTGTGGTGACCTGATCCGAGTGACTTGAGCGGTCTTCTGGACTAAAACATCTGTTTCAGCTAACTGGATTATGGGAATTACTTTGTTAGACCCACAGACTGAGACAACTATTGACTATTGACTTTTGTCAACTTGACTGACATGACAGTTTTATTAATAATGCCAATGCAGGTTACATGGCCACTGAAAGGATGTTTTGTAAAGAAAAATAGAAACAAAAATCATTTGCTGTAGGTACGATCGAAAACTTTTGAATGTTTTTTTTTTTTCCCTCTGAGACATGCCAACAAGGACAGTATTAAGAAGGGTAACCTGAGACAGGCTACACTTTTGCTGGAAACACTCATTTTCACCAGTGAATCACAGCCCCCATTAAGACACGAGCTATGATAGAACTCACCAGGTGAGTAAACATTACCTACAGCTATATAACGTCAGGAAGGAAGACTTCTAAAACTGTGCACCATTTATTATGAAAAAAAGCTTATAAAGGCAGAGATACAAAGAGGGTAATTGCAAATGTCTGCTGAAATGAAGACTAAGGCCAGATCCCCGCATTAACGGAGTAT